AATGACACGCAATTAATGTGATTTAAAATATACTATAATGTCAGTTAACAATACACTTAAGTGTGAATTAAATGCAATGTTTTCGCCGCATTGAATGCACATTAAGTGTAATTGATTTCAAATATATCACATATTAAGTTCAAATAAAATGCAATAAGTTGTCATTAAGAGTGATTTTTTGGTACCACTTAAGTGGGACTTTAATACAACTTTATATTTACTTTCATAATTGCTTCTAGTCTATTTAAAATGTATTTAAAGTGCACTACACAATGCACTGACAAGCAATTAATGTAAACTAAAATGTACTTTAATGTTAGTTAACAATACACTTAAATGTGAATTAAGTGTAATGTTTTCGACAAACTTATTGCATATTATATGTAATTGATTTCAAATGTATCACAGATTAAGCTCAAATTAAATGCTATAGCCTCTATGCACGAACGCTGCTGACGTATTTCCGGTAAAATCTCAGTCAGCGTCTTTACTTCCGTATAGAGCGTTCTATAGTGAAGAAGTGTAGGCTACTAACGGCAAAACTTTAATAACATTTACACAGCGATTTATAATATATAGTATTATATAGATAATATAAGTATTATATATATATAGTATTATATATTTAAATATTTAAATATTTTAGTGATGGCTTCCAGGAAATATAAATATCAACGGCGGCAAGACAGTACTTCGGCTGAACATTGTTGTGTCCCGTTATGTGAGGCCTCGTCAAAGTTTAATTCTATTCTGAGTTTCCACACTTTTCCTGTGGACGAAGAAACACGCAGAAAGTGGATTCACAACATTCGACGTGAGAGATTTAACATCACATCTCATACAAGGGTCTGCAGTCGCCACTTTAAAAGTGATGATGTGATTGAGCCCTCGACCTCTAAAGGGCGTCGCTTGCTGCGAAAGGGAGCTGCACCAACCTTATTCCAGTGGAACGAGTACTCCGTGGCTGAACCAAGGCGCTCCGGGGTATGGCAAAGACGGGACACTCAAGTTGATGAAGTTCCTGTGCCAATGGATGCCCATTATCTGGAGCATGATTATTGTTCAGTTCCAGAACCCGCGGCAGTTGATAATGCACTGGACCAGAGCGAAGATCTCCATAAAAAGGTGGAACAACTAATGAGACAGGTGGAGGAGTTGTCAGTCGGTCAAAGATTTAGTTTGGGGCGATTTGCTGCTTCCGATGATGATATAAGGTTCTACACTAGGTACGTTTTTAAAATATTTGTATGTGTGCATACATACATACATACAAACATATATATATATATATATTTATGTGTGTGTGTGTGTATATAAGTGTACATGTGTGCGTTTATATATATATATATACATACATACATACACATATATATATATATATACACACACAAACAGTGTTTAACATTGTCTATGGATGTGTGTGTGTGTGTGTATATGTAAATAAACATGTCTTACATCTCATTTAGGTTCATGACTTACAGGCATTTAATGACTTTCTGGAAACTCATTGAACCTGCATCCCACAAAATGATTCGTGTGACCAGAGCAAGAGCAACTACAATGAGGAGTGAAGCTGAAACAAGAGGCAGTACATGGGTAAATAAAAAAATAGCAAGAAAAAAAATACTAATTTAGCATTTTCAGTGAAAGCGTAACCAACACATTATATGTACATAATTGCAAACCTTGTTATTTTTATAGGGTCAGTCCCTGCAGCCCATTGATGAGTTTTTCCTCTTCATGGTCCACCTCTCAGTTGGACCAACACAGCGGGATCTGTCCCACAGATTCAACATTCATCAGTCTACAGTTAGCCGAATTATTACAACCTGGGCCAATTTTTTGTACACCATTCTTGGCTCTGTCCGCATATGGATGTCTGAGGAGGAAGTCAAGGCGCATCTACCCAATGAGTTCCAGGACTACCCAGACACACAAGTGGTGATCGACTGCACGGAACTACGTTGCCAAACTCCATCCTCTCTCCTGCTTCAAAGTGAAGTTTTCTCAAATTACAAGTCTCATTGCACCTTCAAGGGGTTAATCGGCATGGCACCACATGGTGTGGTCACCTTTGTGTCTTCCCTGTATGCAGGATCTGTCAGTGACAAGGAGCTTTTTAAGCAGTCTGGGATTGTGTCTCTGTTGAAACCTGGGATGGCAATAATGGTCGACAAAGGTTTTCTTGTTGATGACTGCGTGCCATGCAAAGTCTACAGACCTGCTTTCCTGTCAAAAAGGAAACAACTGACGGCTGATGAGGTAAAGAAGACACAGTCCATTGCTCGGCTAAGGGTCCACGTCGAGCGTCTCATCCGCAGGGTGAAGGAACACAAGCTGTTCGACACAGAAATCCCTCTTTCCATCACAGGGAGCATCAACCAGCTGTACACTGTTGCTTGCCTCCTTGTAAATTACCAGAATGGCCCCTTAGTAAAAGCATGGGCAAAGGATTAAAGACAAGATAACTTTGTTTGGGGATTGATGAATTTGTATTTATTTTTGTCCAAACAGAAATAATGTAAACATGTATATATAAATAACTTTGTACAGTAGCACTGCAGGAATGAAAACATGTAAATATAAATAACTGTACAGTAGCACTGCAGGAATGTAAACATGTAAATATAAATAACTGTACAGTAGCACTGCAGGAATGTAAACATGTAAATATAAATAACTTTGTACAGTAGCACTGCAGGAATGAAAACATGTAAATATAAATAACTTTGTACAGTAGCACTGCAGGAATGTAAACATGTAAATATAAATAACTTTGTACAGTAGCACTGCAGGAATGAAAACATGTAAATATAAATAACTTTGTACAGTAGCACTGCAGGAATGTAAACATGTAAATATAAATAACTTTGTACAGTAGCACTGCAGGAATGAAAACATGTAAATATAAATAACTTTGTACAGTAGCACTGCAGGAATGAAAACATGTAAATATAAATAACTTTGTACAGTAGCACTGCAGGAATGAAAACATGTAAATATAAATAACTTTGTACAGTAGCACTGCAGGAATGAAAACATGTAAATATAAATAACATTGTACAGTAGCACTGCAGGAATGAAAACATGTAAATATAAATAACTTTGTACAGTAGCACTGCAGGAATGAAAACATGTAAATATAAATAACTTTGTACAGTAGCACTGCAGGAATGAAAACATGTAAATATAAATAACTTTGTACAGTAGCACTGCAGGAATGAAAACATGTAAATATAAATAACTTTGTACAGTAGCACTGCAGGAATGTAAAGTGTACAGTGATGTTGAGTAAATAAAATAAAACAACTTTGATCCAATATCAAATTATTATTTGTCTTTCTACTTTTGTAGGCATCTTGGCAGGTAAAAGTAAAGAAAGAAATGGTCAGCTTTCTCTCGAATGGTCTGAAACATTTTGATGTCTTTGTGTATGCGCTGGATCATCATGTCATCCTGAGCATAAACGACAAAATCACACCAGTCCAATCCTGAGATCAGCATTTGTCCTTGAACTTGCCAGAAGTATGCATGCTGTTGTTTCAGTTCTGGTGTGCCAGTGTTAAATTTAAGGTACGGACAGTCCACATAACTGTTGACATTGGGACATTTTATCTCCAAAAGTCCAAAAACATGGTCCTCTTTAGGGTCAAAAATAATCCCATCAGGAGAGGCCCCCAGCCAAGGTGCATCGGGGTGAATTAAGAAACCACAGGTGTGGTAGTTTACCTCTCGCAGCAGACAGTATTCCTCAATTGCAGCAGATTCCATTTCAAGACCTCTCTTCATGTCTGCTGTCTGGCGAGTTCCCTTGTAGATTCTTTCTGCCAGGTGTTCAGCCGAGCTCTGTCCACGCACATGACAAACCTCCCTAAAACGTGACGCTGTTACCCGGGGTTTTCGGATAGAGTGCCAAGCATGTGATGCACTCTGTTCTTTGGTGGCCTGCTCTATTTTGTGAGCCATATCGAAGGTTACTGCCAGTGACATCATGTGTGGTTGTCCATGTTCGCTATGGACAAACAAGCAAACAGATGTGTCAAGGCTGTAACCAACTAGTGGCAGAGGTGGCGGTGGTGGGGCATCTTGATGGTGAGTGATGTTGCTTGTTGCTGCTGCTGGCTGTTGGTATGACAGCACACTTCCATACTGAACTTTACCAAAGGCAGAATCCACCAAAGAATCCTTATGTGACATCCTGATAGTGGTCACTGGAGGAGCTACAGCACTGGCGTAGTCCTTATATGCCTCTGCTACCTGGAGGACTGAGAGGTCAGGCAGCTCACTAGCGACACCCTTGTAAAGGGTACTCCTGAAATGAAAAGTATTAAACAAAAAGCATTTTTCTAGTTTTTAGTCTGTCTAATTTTTCATAACTTTTCATTTTAAACTACATTCATGTTTAGTATGAAATGTTTAGGTTGTACCTTAAACCCTCAGCAAGCTTCCTCTCTTTGGGTCTTGCAGACAGAACTACCATTTTATTGACAGGGCCTGGCTTGACTCCCTAGAAAATACCCAGGGCAATGTTAATATTAATACAGCAAAATGTTCAATGCTAGATTACAGTATACAGCAGTCAATTCATCACTTAATCACACAATTTATTTTTTCTGAATAATTAGCACTGTCCACAAAACTGCTGTTACTCACTAGTCATCTAGATAAAGTATGTATCCTAAGCTAATAGAACATTAAACTCAAATAATGCACATTGTATATATTATTATTTATTTATTTTTTGCATTTCCAGTAGTTGTATTTTTTATATAAAAATTTTTTGTGCAAATTTATTTAAAATTACCATTGTTCTAGGTTTGTGCCAGCTCTGCTCCGTTTCAGTACAGCTTTGGACTGGAGGAACTGCACTGATGCCTAGCTGAGAGTAGTGGGCTGTTTGGTAGAGTAGTGCAACAATGTGGTTGCACAGTGCTGTCCCAGCAACACAAGAACAACTACTCTGTGACAGTGTTACAGGACGAGAGTCCTTTAATACAATCTGTGGAGATAATTAAATTGTTAATGTTATTTCTAAATTATTTAAAACACTTATGAACCCATTTACTGACTATGCCTGTCTTTGAAAAGATGTAGAACCCACAAACAACTTCTGTTTAAAACATGCATTTCATTTAAATATCAGGTGTCTTTTATTTCCTCCTACTCTTAATCTATGGGGCTCCTCTGACTTCCTCATCGACCTGAAACATGTCGCCCTCACGCTGATCTCTCCTGAGAACTGATCTTTACTAGAAACTGAGAAATTACTCATAGTCAGTAACAATGATAAATATCAAATAATATTTGAACAATATCAAATAATCCAAATAATAAATAAAATAATATAAAGACCGGTATGAACTTGTCAGAAACGGAGACAACGATTTTAGAAGCCGGTTCACTAACGTTAGTCGAATTTCGCATGATATGAGAGAATAACTTTACTCACCCTCAAAGTTGTCAATATAGCTTGAAATATATAATTTAAAGCCCTTCTCTTTCTTGCTCCTAGGTGTAACCGCAAACTTCCTCACAATGGTGTTAACATCATTCACGTTAACCTTAGGCAGTTCTTGTAAACAGCGGGTGTAGTTTGCCATTATCGCCACAGAATGTAAACACAGCGCAGCACCGGAAGTGAGTGAGCGGGCTGAGACAAACCCGGAAGCGATCGTGCATAGAGCCTATTAGTTGATATTAAGAGTGATTTTTTGGAACAAATTAAGATTTTAATACATTTGTATATGAACTTTGAAATATGGTAAAAGTGTACTTCCAAATATACTGACAAGCAATTAATGTGAACTAAAATATACTTTAATGTAATATACATGTACACTTTTATATAATTAAATACATTTGTAATTAAAAATAAAATAATTGTTCCAAATATTTTCAAATTTGGACAAAAAAAGTCTTAACCTAGCTACAATCAACACAAATTCAATTTAAAACCCTCTACATTTACTGACAAAACAATCTCTAAAATAAATACATAAAAACCTTTCTGTTGGTGCACAAGAAAAAACCCAAGAAACACTATACATAAACAGTTACAACACTTTAAAGGGATAGTTCACTTTGACACATATGACACATTCTGTCATTATATACTCACCCTCAAGTTGTTTCAAACCTGTATGAATTTTTCTTCTGCTGAACACAACGAAGATATTTTGAAAAATGTCAGTAACCAAATAGTTAACTGGTCCCATTGACTTCCATGGTATTTTGTTTCCTACTATGGAAGTCAATGGGACCAGTTAACTGTTTGGTTACTGACATTCTTCAAAATATCTTCGTTGTGTTCAGCAGAAGAAAGAAAGGTAACACTTTATAATAACTGCACACTATTAATCATTAGTTAAGCATGAGTTAACAGTTAATTCATCATTTATAAAGCATTAACAGACATTAATAAGAAGTTTATAAATACAGCTATAAATGCTTTTTCTTGATTTATAAGCATATCTATAATGTGTTTAATAATTATATTTTCATACTTTGTTAATGATCAATTAATAATTTCTAAATTAAGTATAGCATTATTTACAAACCCGTTATTTAAGAGTTGTCAGTGATTCATAAGATCACTTAAAGGTACAATACCTAAGATTTTATGCCGCTAGAGGGCGCTACATTCAAAACAACAACAACGGCTTTGCTTGATGACGACGTGAAGGAGCGTGGAATGATGGGAACTGTTGTTTTCAAGTCCACCGTGGATAAATCAGTCAGACGGGAACTGAAAACAACTTCCGCATTTGTCCAGGACTCCACGCAGTACGAGCGGAAACCGAGGGTAACGCGGATATGACGCGATTGACTGGCGACTCCCAGCTCACCCCTGCTCACACGCCCCGTTTCCTTGGTTAAAATCTCAATTTTCTCGCGATTTAAACATTGTTTGAAACATTTGGAATATTGTAAGTTATCACCTTAACTAAATATATAACACTGGCCTTGTGATTTTGAGATAATTGAATGCAAAAATCTTAGGTATTGAACCTTTAAGTGTAAGTTGAGGGTGAGTATATGATGACAGAATTATCATTTTAAAGCTAACTATCCCTTTAACTCTAATTTAGAAAGAGTCTGGAGGGCAATGATGCTTATATGCACAATCATGTTCTCCCTCATACAAAGGTACCTAAACCTAAACCTATCATCACAGAAAACATTTTTGTGTTTTTACATTTTCAGAAAACATCATTCTGTATGATTTATAAGATTCTTTCCATGTAATTTACTGGTATTACTATACTTTTGGGGTAATTTGGTCCCCATAACCTAGGGATTACCAGTACAAACATCATTTTAGAAGCAAACACACAGTACATCAAACACACAACCCATGAATTAATACAAACAAAATGTGATGTGACGTTCTACTGCAAAATGTGAACACTAAGATTCAAACGGGTAATGCTTTACAACAAGGTATTATTAGTTAACTCCTTCAGTTGACATGAACTAAAAATGAATAATACTTTAAGCATT